TGGCAAAAACCAAAATCCAAAACTTTGTCACCAAAGACACAATTCATAGCCTTGCTAAACAACAGTGGTCTAACACTCCCTGTGGCGAGGTACCCGGAAAGAAATATTTTGAAAAAATACACCAACCCCAGTGACAATTTTAGTTTGTTTTATTTTATTTATTTGTTGTAACCTTTTCTATTGCAAACTATGCCTCGAAAGCGACATGTCGAAGTTTAGTACAGGCGGTATCATCAATTACGTACTCACTTCTATTCATGTTGTTAACACCTTCTTTAAGCCGTGAATTTTTTTCTTTAAACAATGATCTGCCGCCAACCGAAAGGTCATTGTTTGCAATTTAGCGTATAAAGTACAAGAAGTCGGGCATTTAACTTGGCGACAGAGTGGGACATCTTGCTACATTGTTACATTCCGACTTCAGTTCTTAATTTATTCACGTAATTCCCCATGAAAACACATCCTAACAAACCACAAAAATGCGGACCCTGAAATGTATTGCTCAACAACCAGAAGCACAACAAGCAAAGAAACAGTTTATTTGTTTATTCACTGATAGACCAATACAGACTATTTTGTCTGCCTACATAAACTGCTACATTCTTTTCCTTTTTCCTTCAACGTTCTCAATTCATCACGCGACAAACCACAAATGAGCATTCGAGCCCTGACTGAAACAGATTTGTATTAGATGTGTATTCTAGTTATCTGCCTGCGATGGGCATCACTGAAATCAACACCCTTTACATTTTATTGTGATATGACTCTGGCAGTCTGTAATCGACAACCCTTTTTTTTTATTAACAAAGCACGATGGGCATCACTGAAATCAACACCCTTTACATTTTATTGTGATATGACTCTGGCAGTCTGTAATACAGCGCTCGCTGTAGCATCACTGAGATCGACACCCTTTGACAAACCATTAACATATATGCAGGCCGAGTACGGTCACTGGCCGTGATCGGTCACTGGCCGAGTAGAAATCTGGCCGAGTTCGGTGGTCACCCACCGACCGACCGCATTTTTTAACTGCCGCTAACGTTATATTTGTTGTTTATTTGCCTCTACAACGAAGATAGTAATACTTGCTGCGCCAGTACTTTTGTACATCATGTAGATAGATAGATATTTTATTTGACACAAAATTAAGTATGAATGAAAAAAACATACAATAAATCAAAGGTCAAGAAAAACAAAACATAGACTAAAGCTTAGAAATAAAATAAATAAATTTTCCCAAGCAATTGACAATGAAGTCGACAACTTGCAAATGTTGTCATCATAAATTGCTAATTCAGCTTCATTTTAGTATGAGCTTGTAAATCTGACTATTTTTAAATATGAGTACCGGTAATACATGAAATTCACCCCCAATAGCCTGTTCATTAACAAAACCTTTTCTCTGAAGGTGTTTTATTATATCTAAGTTTTTCAATTGGCAAAGAGTGAGAAGAAATGCAAAACTTAGTGAAGCTGACTTTTTTATTAGTCCCCGTTCGGACGTAGTCCGAAAACGGGGACTTGTGTTTTGCCCTGTGTGCGTCCGTGCGTCCGTGATCACCTGTATCTCGAACATGCATGGACCGATTAAGTTCAAACTTCACTCATACATCACACATTATATGGGACATATGCACATGCGTTTTTTTCATGATCCGATTAACGATAGCCGAATAGCGGCCATTTTAAGGCCGAAAATGCATCAAAATCGCATTTTTTCACCATTCCGGACCCGGATCTCAGTTATGCATGGACGGATTTTGTTCAAATTTGGTACATACATTAAACATAATAGGACCTTGATGCACGTCATTTTTTTTTTGGATCGGGTTTGAAATGGCCGACTGGCGGCCATTTTGTTTTAAAGAATTCAGTTCTGGATCCGTATCTGAGACATGCCTGGATTGATCAAGTTCAAACTTCACACACACAAGGTACACCATGTCATAAATATGTATGTGCATTTGTTCGGCTGATCTGCACTGGCTCGGAAGATGAATTCTGATTGGCTAAAAAAACAAAAAACTTGTGGCGTTGAATGCACGTTCATTGTCAGTATTGTTATGCAAATTCAAACTAGCTAATCATTTACAACCTTCCGAGCCAGTGCAGATTAGCCCCATTTGTTTCATGATCTCATTAACGATAGCCAAATGGTGGCCGCTTTAAGGCCGAAAATGCATTGAAATCGCACATTTTCACCATTCCGGACCTGGATCTCAGTTATGCATGGACGGATTTTGTTCAAATTTGGTACATACATTAAACATAATAGGACCTTGATGCACGTCATTTTTTTTTGGATCGGGTTTGAAATGGCCGACTGGCGGCCATTTTGTTTTAAAGAATTCAGTTCTGGATTCGTATCTGAGACATGCCTGGATTGATCGAGTTCAAACTTCACACACACAAGATACATCATGTCACAAATATGTATGTGCATTTGTTTCATGATCTCATTAACGATAGCCAAATGGTGGCCGCTTTAAGGCCGAAAATGCATTGAAATCGCACATTTTAACCATTCCGGATCTGGATCTCAGTTATGCATGGACGGATTTTGTTCAAATTTGGTACATACCGGTACATTAAACATAATAGGACCTTGATGCACATCATTTTTTTTTCCGGATCAAGTTCGAAATGGCCGACTGGCGGCCATTTTGTTTTAAAGAATTCAGTTCTGGATCCGTATCCGAGACATGTCTGGATTGATCAAGTTCAAACTTCACACACACACATGGTACATCATGTCACAAATAGATATGTGCATTTGTTTCATAATCCGCTTAACAATAGCTGATGGCCATTTTAAGGCCGAAAATGCATCAAAATCACGTATTTTCACAATTCCGGAACCGGATCTCAGTCATGCATGGATGGATTTTGTTCAGATTTAGTACAATGTGTTGTACATATACAGGTGCATTTCGGTCATGATCTGCTTTGAATGTATATGTCACTCAAGTATGAACGGAACGGGGACGTGTCATTGACAATGACTTGTTTGTTCTAAATATGGTTCAAATTTAAGATTTTATTTAAAATGTTATTTGAACCATATTTATACACAAATACTGTTGTAACACGTAATATGCCATAATAAATAACCATACTATCAGCCGCAGAGGCAATAAACAACAAATACAACATTGAATGTATATACTACATGCATTTATTATAATTAAAAAAAAAAATGTCTGTGTCAAGTGCCCATGCTCTCAGTACTGAGTAAGAGAAATTCGTTTGAAAACTAGAGGGGCTAGATGATTTTGTGCAAAAAATATGTGTTTAAGAAGCAATTGGAAAAGCTAACAAAAGAAAAAAAAAGTGTTGTATTACCGGTATGTAGCAGGTAATGCCTGGTGAGTGAACACAGCTGATTAGTTTATTGATTTACTAAAATAGAACTGACATAACTAAAGAATGTCCAGTTGTTACTTATTTTGTGTTGCTACTGTTCAAAATGACTCGAAACATCATTTGAAGTTAAAGTACTTTCAGTTTGCTGCCAAAAAACAATTGTCATTGAACAACATTTCTGAAGATGTTTTTTCATGAATGAGCTGCTCGCTTCACATAATCTGCGAAACAACAATAAAAATAGAATCGCCCATAAACCAGAAATGCACCATTTTCTAATATCTTAGGGTATATAGATTTCTTCCATACTCTTCTATATGTACACAATATCTACTATGTATATTTATCTGCTAGATGAGGGTGAATGACATGGACGTGTACAAAAGTAATATTTTTCTTGCAGCAAAATTATTGAAGACTAAAAGCAAGAAAATGAGGTTGACAAGATTATTATTTACCAGTAGAAGATATCCATTGGATGATCCTTGGGCTAAAGATTGGTGGAAAAAAATTAATAAAAATTTTCGTTATGGAATGGCAAAACCTAAAACCCCAGCATCTCTCAAAGCTAATTATCCTGGTAGAAATAGACCAGCAGTGTTGGTTGAACCACTAAAAGATTGGAATTATTTTCGAGGTGATCTGGTAAGTGGTCTGCATATTTGCTTATATAAACAATTGCCAACTGGTGACAATTTTCATTTGTGTACTCTTGTCAATACTAGTTTCCTAACAATATACATTTGCTTTATCCAAAGATTAAAGTTTGATCTGATGCTATTCAATTGATTGCCACAGTGCTGTCAAATATTTATCTAAACTATTATACTTTCACTGCAATCCGTTTTTGCGGTTTGATGATTTATGACCATTGCCAACAACAATTTTTCTGTTTAGTCAAGGCATATATGCAAGGCAGAATTTGATTGTTGAAAAAACTGTTACCTTTTAACAAACAAGCTATTCTCTGATTGGTCTGAGTGTTAGGTGTTAGGGTAAGCAGCTGTCTCCAGTGAAATGTTACATGAAAAATTTCTCTCGCAAAATATAGCGGTTTTGTTAACATTCATAACTAATAATGACCACATGTATACAGTAAGCCTAATCGTTCTTGATAATTGGGTAAAATTGACAAACATCTAAACAAAAAAAGAAATTACCTGAAAACCAACACTGTTAAAGGGTTGTGATGTTTGTTTGTTTTAGGTGCAGATTTTGATAGGAAAAGACCAAGGAAAACATGGAACTATATGTGAAATTATCAGAGAAAGAAATTGGGTTGTTGTAGAAGGGCTGAATTGTGTAAGTGCATTATGGGAGTTTTGTGATAAAAATTGTTGGTGTGCCAAATATTGCATTTTTGCATTCAAGTGATTTTGACACTGTCCCAGATGTCAAGTTTTTCACTTGTATTATGAATATCTTCAAGTTCGCAAAACTTAATTGAAAGCCCTTTCAATTTTGAGTTACTTGGCAAAAAATAAAATCCATAAAAGTTATGGCATCTGTGAAGCAGGTGTATAATGTCATTTATCGACTAAGTTAGTGTTTGTCTTCAATGCAATAAGTCCTTTCTTGCATTAGTATTCATATTCTTCTTCTGGAGCAACTAATCTAGGAAGTACATATGGTCCTAACTTTTGTGTTCATTTAAAGTAATAGTAATGTGGGGAAAATATAAATTCAAAAGGGAGGACTCTATGGCTATACAGGAAACCACACAAGAGTCCATAAATAAATGCTGCTTGGACCGATAAATATGATACATAATAAGTAATATTTTAGTGATCATTGTCCTAAGTAACTATTAGTATTACCGGTAACTATTAAAAATAGTTACCGGTACTTAGGACAACGATTACCAAATACATGTATTATCTACTATATATTACCGGTAATTCAAGTGTCTGGTGTGAAACTTAGACAAATGTTATAGAAATGAAAATCTTTTGAAATTGCTTTTTCATCCAGAACAAACTTGAATAAGTTTGAAATTTCTGATATAAATACTATCTAATGTTTGTACAGCATTATAAATGTCTTGGGAAAACTGAAGGCTATAGAGGAATGTATATAAAGAGTGAAGCACCATTATTACACAACCAAGTTGCATTGATAGATCCATCAGATAAGTAAGTTTAACTATGTTTATTTAGTAAATCAACCTTAACTGTTGATTGATCTATTCCTAAGTTTATCAGCTCTACAAGGCAAGTGTATGTACTGTACTGTAAAGGTTGAGATACAGCAGTGCATTTATGTACCGTAGTAATGAGATACAGCAGTGCATTTATGTACCGTAGTAATGAGATACAGCAGTGCATTTATGTACCGTAGTAATGAGATACAGCAGTGCATTTATGTACCGTAGTAATGAGATACAGCAGTGCATTTATGTACCGTAGTAATGAGATACAGCAGTGCATTTATGTACCGTAGTAATGAGATACAGCAGTGCATTTATGTACCGTAGTAATGAGATACAGCAGTGCATTTATGTACCGTAGTAATAAGATACAGCAGTGCATTTATGTACCGTAGTAATGAGATACAGCAGTGCATTTATGTACCGTAGTAATGAGATACAGCAGTGCATTTATGTACCGTAGTAATGAAGATACAGCAGTGCATTTATGTACCGTAGTAATGAGATACAGCAGTGCATTTATGTACCGTAGTAATGAGCTGTCACAGTAAAAAAGTAGTCTCCAGGGAAGTTGTGTAAGCGAATATATGTTATTTATTGAATGCAAAAACACTGGTCAATTAATCTTTGAGAAAATTTCCTCTGCACCTGAATCCGATTTTTAAACAACTTTTTGCCTAACGATATCATCTTCATAATGTTTTTAACATAATTTTCCCAATATTTTTCACATATTTTGTCTGAAAATTTCATTTCTAAGATAGTTTCTGTGTACAGCTGTTGTATTATAATTCAACGATTGCTTTCAGTAAACCAACTAGTATTAAATGGAAGTACAATGAATCTGGTGAGAAAGTGAGAGTATCAATCCGAACTGGTAGAATTATTCCGTTGTCACCAATGGCATTTCAGCATCCTGACTATAAAACTAAAGATTCATATTCTGGTGAGTGCTTTCATTTGACATGGTCAAACAACCTAAAAAATACATTGATATAAATTGTATTAGTAATGTATGTGTTTATGTAAATGACAGATTACCACGTCTATGCAGGGCTCGAAATTAACTGTAGTCTGATTGTCCTGGTGTATTCATGATTCAACTATGAGGGCGCTATTTGCCATATCAATCAAGGTCGTGCCTTGTCAGCAAAAGACTTTAGCACAATTTAAAATAAACATAGTTTTACTGAGATTTTCATCGCATGTTACCATAGTTATGAAAGGTGCATCCATTTTTCATTGATTAACCATGTTGAATTTGAAATGAAAATTCCAAATATTCTCTTATTTGTAGAACAAACAAAAGATACAGTTGGGGAACACGCAAGTAAAGATTCTTACAAACCATCTCTTAAGTTAGTAGAAGAGGAACTAATGGATGCAATGGGTATCATTGAAACCAGGAAGCCTGGTAAAACATGGTGGTATTAGATATATTAAAGTAGGACATGTGACAGGACTGACTTTCTTTCCCCAAGTGTTCATGTTATGAAAAAACTGTCAATGGAGGAAAATCATGATATGGCAGTGAACAAACTTGATGGTTTTTTGCTGATACAGTACATCTAGGATTTTATCAACTGCTGTGATCTTTACACCTGTTATAATCTTAGTATTATGTTCTGTGGAAAAGTGTCAGCACCTTACCTTAGGAGTGTATGATGTACAGTGTATCATTACAATACTGCATATTACCTTTGCCTACAGAATTAAAATCATGTGTAGTAAAAACCACAAAGTGTGTACATGTTTTCTGTGATTGATTGATAATTTTAAAATTACTAAATATAGGTGAATGTGTAAAGTTGAAATGTTTAATCTCTGTTGCAATGGTCGTTGCACCAAGCATGTGTTATGTTTTGGTCCCACACAAACATACCTGTAGAAGGTGACTATGAGTATTTCGTAAATCCATATATACAAAAAATGATGTTACCAAAGTTTAATTATAGAATTTCTAGGATGATTGGACATTGACAAATATTCCAACGAGTCAGAATATTTAGTGTACGTTGCATCCAGATCAAATCTAGCATTCATGCTTGCCACTGGGAGAGTGCATTGGATTGTGAAAATCAGTTTTCTCAACACAAATCTCACACATGTTTCATGGCAGCCAGCATTCTTCAGATAACACTATGCTTCCTTTTGACAAATTACCATATTGCTGTGATTTTTCTGTTCGAAGGACTGCTGAGCTATAGAGATCATGAAGTGTCCGACTGTCTGTGGACGATTTCTCCAAAACCACTGACCGTTGGTTCTGATTTTTAGTATGAACATTCCTTATTGGTGGATTCATTAACAAATCTGGAATTTGGGTCAAAAAAGCTGAAAATTGATATTTTTGTTGAATTCTAAAAAAAAATGTCGGTCTGATTGACTTGCTATTTAGACCTTGGCTGGTCCTCTGTGTGGCCTGTTAGTGTGGTAGCTTTATTATCTAAAAATTTGTATTTTAAGTGAATTTTTTCATTATTTTTTTAATATTTTTAGCTAAAAGCGTTATTTTCGACTTCTCCAAAACTTTCATATTTACTGGTAGTAATGATATCTTCAATTTTGTGCAATTTTTTCTGATTATTTTTTTTTTAATTTCCGACTCTCCATTTGCAATATATGGGACTTACAGAATGCAGAGGCCTAAGTGTGACCATCAGATTTTTAGTGTGAAGGTACCCTGTGGGCTAGAGATTGGAATTTAGATTAGAGATTAGATTTTGTTCATAGATCAGTCTATAATTCTGCAAATTGGATCAAAAAAAGCTGCTAAATTGGCAATTTTTCAAAAACCATCTGTCTGACTGACTTCATATTTAACATACAAGATGTAGACCAGTCTTCTGTGTAGCCTTTTGATGTAGCATTATCTACAATTTTCTATTTTTGACTCCCGTGTGCGAAGCACAAAAGGGAGTCTTTGCAGTTACCCTGTCTGTATGTATGTATGTATGTATGTCACTTTTTTTGTTCCACCGTTATCTCAAGAACCACTAATCAAATTTTGGTGAAACTTGGTACATAGATGCTCTGGGATAATGCGCAGAGTTGATTAGGTTTTGGTAAAAATCTATGAATATTAATTACCTAATTTGCATGATAATTAGCTGATTTTTAGCTGTTCCACTGATATCTGAAGAACCACTCATTGGATTTTGATGAAACTTGGCACATGGATGCTTGGAATTAGTTCGCAGATTTGATTAGTTTTGGGTAAAAATCTATGAATATAAATTACCTAATTTGCATGATAATTAACTGATTTTAAGCTGTTCTATGACTGTTCCACTGATTTTTGAAGAACCACTCATTGGATTTCAATGAAACTTGACACATGGATGCGCTGAACTAATGCGCAGATTTGATTAGTTTTGGGTAAAAATCTGTTAATATTATTAATTACCTAATTTACATAATGATTAATCAATTTTCGGCTTTTCCACTGATATATCAAGTACTAATCATAACATTTCAATAAAACTTGGTACACATGTCATATGACACTGCACAGACCTGATAGTTTTTAGGGTAATATCAGTACATATTAATTACCTAATTTGCATAATTAATTAATGTTCAGCTTTTCACCTGATATCTCGAGTACTAATCATTACATTTCAATGAGACTTGCGACATAGATATTCTAGGACTATGCAGAGACCTGATTAATTTTAGGATAAATTATTGTGCATATTAACTACTAATTTGCTTAATTAGTTAATTTGTCCTAAGAACCACTCATTGAATTTTAATGAAACTTTTAAAGAGTACTCATCACATTAATTTTGGGATAAATAATTGTGCCTATTAA